GGCGCAGAAGCAGCAAGAATCGACGCCTCTGAGGGGAAGAAGACCACCGAAGGGGCTCGTTGGCGTTTTGGAGGGAGGGCGCCTCCTCGCACCCCCTTTTCATACGCCCGGAGGCAGGGGCGAAGAAGAGGAGAAGCCACGCCTCCGGGGGTGTGTGTCCCTGCCTGGTACGGCGGAGAAGAGAAAGGGAAAGCAAACGGAAACAACAGCGCCGCTCGGGTGCCCCCCAAAGGCTGCAAGCCGTCGCGTGTGCCCATGGGCCACAGGAGCCGTCCCAGCTGTTCGGTTTGCCAATACAGTAATTCGGTATTCTGGAGTTGGCAGAAAGCGGTCCTTCAGATAGCAAATGTTGTGAGTTGCCAGGAAAGCGGCCAAAATCAACAAGGGGGTGGGAGCCATCTTGTCCTTGTACACAATGCCAAACCAAACTCTACCTAGGTCTTTATCAGGCTGGTCACCCAACGGGGGGGGGGTTGTACAAAGGAAACATGAAAGTTAAAAAAAAAGCAAGCCGTGGCTAGTTGTCAACGCCAGCCTTCTTTACTTAAAGCAAGTTTCAAAATTGGGGCGGCAGACTCACGTCAAAGATGCAGTTTTCGAATTTCACCGCTGCTGGTGCAGATTAAAAAGCCTCTCAATCTCAGAATAATTGACAAACATTTTGGTTTTAAGAGCAGGGTGTAAAATTCCAACCATGGTACAAGGAATGCTGTTTGAGAAGGGCACCCCCAGATGGCACTGGCAACTTGAGTCCCAAGTCACCTCTCCAAAGAGACTTGGCACAGACATCTCGTACCATCAGTTTTTGGACTCTTATCCACCATTTTTCTGCACTATGGATGAAGTGGTGGTGCTTAGTCTGTTGAAGTGGAATCGTCTCCACAAAAGCTTGCAATTTGATATTTTAGTGGTCCAAGGCATCACTCTTACATTTGTGTAATCTTGAAAGAAATACCTAGTGGCTGGAGAAACTATGGCCTTTTCCTAATTCTCTCAGTACTGATAGACAAATGGCTGTCAGTTGTTCAGCATTTCCCCATGGCCCTGTACTGAAACATACTGTAGTTCCTTTTTTTGGCTGAGAAAAGAGGCACACAGAGATGTAGCAAATCCTATATCAAAGCAGTTGGGATAAAATTTAGCTTATACACTAGATAAGCCAATTATAGCCAAATTGAAAGAAATACCTAGTGGCTGGAGAAACACGAAGTCCAATTTGCGTGATGTTGAATAGACTTGCTTGGTTCTTGTTGGCTATTTCAAGCTAATTTCCATGACTCAATTAAAAGAAAAAAAGATGTGTAGTCCTCATACGCAAATCTGAAGGCAAAAGTTGGTCACACCTTTGACCACTTTTTAAAAATTAGATATAATATATAAGCTAGTTTTGACCCTGTGTTGGTCTTCATCAGGTTGGGCACCAAAGAGCTTGGGGTGGTACAGAAAAAAAATTCCCAGCCACTAGATAAGACTTTTGAATTGACTGCAATTGACTTATCTAGTATGTGAATTAATTTTTATCCTGACGTCTCTGATAATGGGATTTGCAACATTTCTGAGAATCTCTGTTCCTAGAAAGGAACCATATGTTTTGATATAGGGCCATGGAGAGATGCTGAATGGCTGGCAACCATTTGTCTAGCAGGATTGGGAAGGTCATTCCAATCCACACCACAAAAGGTAAAATCTGAAATCTGTACCTCTAACCTCAATTTGCAGTACCCATTTTGAAACTTCCTTTAAGCAGAAAAGCCCAGGCTGCAAATCTGGCTATCTTTTTGAACATCTGTGTTTCTTTTGTACAACCTCCAGGTCTGTGGTGCCTAGCTTGATGAAGACACTGGCAGGGTAGTAGCTAGCTTGTGTTTGAAATTTTTTAGTTGTCTAATAAAGACACAGCCATCCTTGCCTAACTAAAATCAGATACTTAAAAAACAAAGAGGAATCAGTGTGGCTGGGAAACCCTACATTTTACAGAAGTTCAAAAAAAAATTAGATGGGCCATTCTCAACCTTTTTCTGGACACAATAAACACAATATCAAAATCCAATAAACAAAATATAGTCTCAATCAGGATTGTATAAATTAACTTGTGAAGAATTATTTCCAGTCTGTGCCCCACTTCAAATGTTCCAGGAGCCCCCGGGGGGGCCATATGGCCCCTGTTGAGAATCGCAGCATTAGATGATGGATTTCTAGAAGAGTGAATGGTACATTTGTAATTTCAGCTTGGTTTCTTCTAATCTAATTCCATATATATTCTGCTTACTTTATCAGTTGGCCAATCAAGCATACGTTTTCCACAAATATACAAATGCTATGTGCCAAATCTATGCCGATTTATAATATCCTTTCTGAATGCAGTGGCTAGAATGGTACACAATATGACGAGTGTAGTTGCACCATAAATAAATGATATTTGCAGTATTACTTTATTATTCCTTTCATAATGATCCCCAGCATAGATTTTGCCTTTTCCACAGAGGCTGCAAACTGGTTAATATTTTAAGTGAGCTTTCCCTTGGAGCTCCATAGTTATCACCATACAGTATATGTAAAGTTAAGTGTACATGTGTGTTTTTCCCCTAGTATGCATCACTCTACATTTGCTTGCATTCAACTGCATTTATTAGATTGGTCCTCATTCCCACGGATTAGAGTGATCTTTCTGGAGTTCTACACTGAGTCTTTATTTTAACCATCCTAACTAATTTAGGATGGAAACTTGGATACCTCTGGGCACTGACCCTTCACTCCAGATCATTTGTGAACAGATCAGGCATGAAAGACATAATTTTGTGGATGCATCTGTGTGGTGGCAGATCTTGAGCAATATAACTGGTAACTGGTGCGGGATATAAATTCAAATAATAAATAACAGGGCTTCCCTTCACCTCAGAAAATATTTGTTTGACTACATTATTAAATAGAGATTATAGCATGAACTAATTTGTGAACTCATTCTACCAAATTTAGCTGGTCCATGAAAAGTAAATGCTACCATGTATAACTGCAGGTGCCATTTGAAATATCTTTTATTTTATCTGAATTACCAAGTTATAGAATTTGAATGTCTTGTGTGAAATTACAGTTTTTTCACATTCTTGGAACTCACTTAAAATAAATGCAACATGTTTCTTTTTAAGTGACGTACAAAATGATCAGGAATTACTTTGGAAGAGAATATTGTAGACTGAAAAATGGATGATAATGAGATAAGACAATGCCAAGGTTACAAACCCAGAGTCCCCAAGATCAGATTTTCACAAGCTTCATCCTGGAATATCCTTGCTTGACTTTTCAATGTCATCATCATCCTCTGTTGTAGTTTCTCCCCCAGTTCCTCCTTGCCTCTCTTCTTCTTCATCAGTTTCTCCTTGTTTCTGTCCTCCCTCCACCTCTTGCATCTCACCATCCTCAGAAGTAAGTATTTCTCCTCCCTCTGAGCTTGATACCTGTTTCTCGCCTTCAGATTCGGTTTTCTCAGACTCCTCACTTTCTTGTACTTTCACTGTGACATCCTCTTCTGTTTTTGTATCATCTGTATCCTTTTTGTTCTCTTCCTTTTCTTCTTCTTTTTCCTCCTCCTCCTTCTCTTCCTCCTCCTCCTCCTCTTCTTTCTCATCATCTAATTCTAGAAAATAAACAAACTCTTATAGTGGATCCTCTGTATGATTATTCAGTCTACTCCTGCCTTCTGAATTATTCAGCCCACTCCCACCACTGTTCCTTGTTCCCATTTTACAGATATTATAAGCTTGTGAGAAAGGGCAGCTTGCCCAAGGCCACACCATAGTGACTCTGAGCATGTCTATGGGAAAGCTCAAGGCATGAGTTTTGCACAGCATTCACTGCTTTCAGGGGACCTGTGGTTTTCTTTTGTACTGCCTCTTTCAGTATCAAGTGACTGAAAGTGTAAATACAGGGATGGGGTCTCCTGCCTTATGGACTGAGGAGTAAGAGGAAGAGGCTGACTGCATACATACTTGGGGTTTTTTATTCTAAGGGGGAGATAATGTAGGACACATTTCATCCAGCAAAATCAGAGTACCATCACTTGCAAAGAAATTTCAGGCTAATATTAAATAACTACTAAAACTTGCCCTTAGTCAACAGCCAAAGGAGGAAGTTTTTTCTTTGAGTGGCTTAATGATGAGTGAGTGGAGGAAACTAGAGAAATGCTACCACCTACAGGTCATCTCAATACAGCACTTCAAGACACAATTTATTGTTATGGCCTTCAAGAATGTTTCTTTTTTTAGTCCATTTCTAACAAATTGCAATCTTTTGTTTACTAACTTTTTACAAAGAATCCAGACAACATCACTGACAAATCATTGTATGCCACTGTTTACTGTGTTGTTCTCATATGTGTTTTTTTTAAAGACTTGATATGTGTTTAAACTTAATATTCCATTATAGTGCCTTTCTGTCCATTACAGACAATTAGAGTTTTGAGGGATATCTGAATTTTTAATCTAAACCCTAAATGATGTTAGGTTTCTTGGTTTTATTGTTTCTTGATTATCTAGTAGCATTTCTGATGCAACCCCTCACTTAGTAAGAGTCTGTTTGGGGGAGAGGAATAATTTAATTCTGTATCTCCTTGTACTTTTATTCCTGTTTCTGTTCTATAGCAGGGATAGGGAATATGTATGTGCATTTCCAGATGTTGTTGGACTGCAGCTTCCACCTGCTTTCCTTGTTGGCTGCATTGGTAAGGGCTGGTAAAAGTTGCTCTCCAACAATACCGGGGGCCAGGATAGCACACATTCCTCAGCCCTGTTTTATAGCAAACAGTGGTATGTCTCAAAGAATGGAATGTTCCATTTGTTGGTGCCATTAAAACCATTGGCCATCACCAGCTTCTTGCATCTGTAGTGTATGACAGGCTCTCATGTTCCACTCTCCTTATTGTTGGCCTTTATTCTTAACAGACCATGAGCAACGTTCAGTTGGCTTGGGAAGAACTAGATGGAGTCTGTGTTTTTGACAATTTCAAGTTCCCTGTTTGGGAATTATACCCTTTTTCATCCAGCCTGTTGCAAATGGCAGGTGTAACACTTGAACAGAGGGCACTCCACAGCATACAAGCTGACAGCAAATCTGTTTCATTACATCAAGAACACACATGGTTGGTCATGGGGTACGTGGAATTTTTTCTGTACAGCTGCAAATGTGAACCAACCTCTCAGTTCTCGCAACCTCTCAAGTCTCTGTTCTTCTTTCAACTCCTTGATGAATCCTTTGTTGGCTTCATCTAGGGCCTACAAAAATAAGATGATAATTAAATAGGAAGCTTCAGACAGAGCCTGAGAAAAACTCTTTCCAATACAACATGCTTTAATTTTTACTGCGCAATCTGCACATGGTCAAATTGCCTGTCTTATGAGACCTCTGCTATGGCAGAGAGGGAGGTAAAATATGGTTGCATATGGTAGATATGCATCTCTCCCCTACAAGCAAATCCAGTTGCCTAGAACCTGGAAGAGTTATTTCTGTAAACTGCAATTGGCAATGCTGCCTGGGGAATTCTGGAAGCTGTAATTCAAAGAAGTAACCTTTTCAAGCTTTGTAGCTGCTGGAGGTCTATCAGTGGACAGAAATCTTACAAAAGATGGTGGTGGCAAGCAGGCTAAGTGACTGACAAGCTGGCATATGGAAACTGTTACATTATTAGGTGAGGTGAGTTGCAAACATCATATCAGGGAGATCTAGAGGGACTGTAAGGACATAGAGAATAAATGAATCATTAAAACATGTTGGGAGAATGGAGAAAATTTCTAGCTAAGGGAGCAAAAGAACAGGGTTGAAGAGATGAAGCCAAGGAAGCAGTTAAGGCAAAAGAAGGCTGAGTTTTTATTCTAATTGAGGTAGGAAATGAATTGGTTCGTCGTCATTTAGTCGTTTAGTCATGTCTGACTCTTCATGACCCGTCACACTTTCCTAACATCAAGGTGTTTTCCAAGGAGTCTTCTCTTCTCATGAGATGGCCAAAGTACTGGAGCCTCAGTTTCAGGATCTGTCCTTCCCATAAGCACTCAGGGTTGATTTCCTTTAGAATGGATAGGTTTGTTCTCCTTGCAGTTCAGGGGACTCTCAAGAGCCTCCTCTGGCACCACAATTCAAAGGCATAAATTCTTTGGCGGTCTGCTTTCTTTCTTGGTCCAGCTCTCACTTCCATACATCACGACAGGAAAAACCATAGCTTTGACTATTCGGACTTTTGTTGGCAAGGTGATGTCTCTGCTTTGTAAGATGCTGTCAAGGTTTGTCATCGCTTTCCTCCCAAGAAGCAGTCGTCTTTTAATTTCGTGGCTGCTGTCTCCAACTGCAGTGATCACAGAGCCCAAGAAAATAAAATCTGTCACTGCCTCCATATGTTCCCCTTCTATTTCCCAGGAGGTGATGGGACCCGTGGCCATGATCTTAGTTTTTTTGATCTTGAGTTTCAGGCCATTTTTTGCACTCTCCTCTTTCACCCTCATTACAAGGTTCTTTAGTCCCTCCTCACTTTCCGCCATCAGAGTGGTATCATCTGCATATTGGAGGCTGTTGATCTTTCTTCCGGCAATCTTAATTCCATTTTGGGATTCCTCCAGTCCAGCCTTCCACATGATGTATTCTGCATATAAGTTAAATAAGCTGGGGGACAATATACAGCCTTGTCGTACTCCTTTCCCAGTTTTGAACCAATCCGTTGTTCCATATCCAGTTCTAACTCTTGCTTCCTGTCCCACATATAGGTTTCTCAGGAGATAGATAAGGTGGTCAGGCACTCCCATTTCTTTAAGAACTTGCCATAGTTTGCTGTGGTCCACACCTTGCTGGCATATTGAATGTAGCACCTTAACAGCATCATCTTTTAAGATTTTAAATAGTTCAACTGGAATGCTAGGACTGGTCAAATATAGAGAACTGACACACATTTTCATATCCACCCTCAGTGGCGCACCTGATGGGGACACGGGAGAGGGCCTTCTCTGTTGCTGCTCACAGACTTTGGAATTCCCTCCCATAAAAAGCCAGGCTGGCCCTCTTGTGCTGTCTTTCCACAAGCAGATGAAGACGAGACAGGCTTTTCCTTAGTGACTGGCATTGTGATTTTTTTTCCAAATTGGGTTGTTGCATGCAATTGCTTTTAAATGCTTTTAAATGTTTAATTCCTTATTAATATTTGTATACTTAGTGTTTTTAGCTTTTAAATATTGTCATTTTAATGATATAAGCCACCTTGCGTCCTTTTAAGGAGAAAGGCGGGGTAAAAATATTTTAAATACATAAAAGTAAATAAATAAGAAATATTCATGATCAGATGTTGTGCTCTAAGCATAAGGGTATTTATGCTTTAACACCTCTCCCAACTCAGTTTCTACACACATGCATCCACCTATCCCACTCTTTGTAACATTTTGGCTATCACATGCTGTGTGATTCTATCTTAGTCTGTGTATTCTGAGACTGTAGCCAACAGAGACATTGTTACACTCCTGTATCTCCTTTTCAGCAAGCCTGGTAAGATCACAACCTGTACTTACAGAATGTGGGGAAAATTTATGCTGTTATGCTGTTACAATGTATATGTCTGTGGCAGTAGCAAATGTATATATCTATGGCAATGGCAGGCCTCATGCTAAAACTGCAAGTCACTAGTTTCCAGTAAGGATGATCATTAACCTGCTGTCTATTGTCTCTGGGTAATGTAGTTAAAGTATCTACCTCAGGAATGTTTACATTGGCTGTGTATTTGAAGTTAGCTGTGTCTGTTTACTATTAACTGTCTGTTTACCAGCCTGTCTGTTTACCAACCACTCTGTTTACTGATGCCTTTGTATTCAAGGAAATTACTTGTCTCTGTTTACCAGCACTCTGGTTATTCTGTTGTAGATTCAAGAAATTAGTTACCTCTGTATTGATTAACTAGTGCTGTGGTAAGAGAGAACAATAAAAGAAGAGGAGGCGGGGGAACAAGAGGTTCCCCTCTGGACAGATGCCTGAGGGCAGGCTGTCCTTGTTCATCTGGATCCCACCCTGAAACATACCCCTGAGCGCTCGTCTCCTTTCTCCTTGCTGGTCAAGAGGGGAGGGAGGCTTCATCTGCAGATCCCGAGACTGACTTCATCTGCAAGACCCCTACTTCCCCTCATCTTGCAGATCCCAACAACAGAACCCATGTTTTACATTTTTACCAAAAAGAAATAACAAAATATTAGTCCCTGTACCTTCCACCTCCCAACTCCATCCCTCTCTAGTTTTGCCATTGTTTTTTTCCATGCCACCTTCCTGTTTTCAATCACAGCCACTCACTTACAATTATAATTGCCTGCTGAGCTGCATCATTATGGATGCGTTTCGCCTTCTCCAGAGCCTTCTCAAAGTACGTGACTGCTGATTGGAAATCCTCCAGTTTCACTATGTATATTGATAAAGCAAAAAAAAAATTTAACCTAAGCAAGGAACTTCAGATAAATCTCTATAGATTCATCTAATGAATTTTCCAGTGATTTTTGGAACACTCTATGACTATGATTGCAAAAATACCTGGATATTCTGTCATTTTTCATTTATTATATACTTTAATAAATACTCATGAATTGGCAGAATTTTGCTTATTCTTATTCAACATGTCACTTCTTTAGATGATACCACACTACAGTGGAAAGCCCACAGATAGGATAAGAGCAGAACAAACCATTAAAATCCTGTTCCATAGGCACTGGCATACAAAGGTATATGCTGTCTTCAGCATGGAGGTTACATGTAGTCCTCCTGTTTACGAGCCATTGGTAGTTTTATCCTACCAGGGTATATGCATAATGTCTATGCCTTAGGCACCAAACAAAGATTAAGTGAGGACTGTGTTTTTGCAGCGATCCCCAACCATTTTGGGACTGTGGACCACTTGGGGGGGTGCGGGCTCCGTGTGCGGGGGAGCGGGGACACCCCCACGTTCATGGGTGGGCATTTCATGCTCACGGAGGGCCGTGTCACACATGTGCGTGAACGCGACACGCCCACCCGTGAACACGACACGCCCCTCCACGAATGCAACACGCCCACTGTCTGTCCGTGGTGGGGGCAGAGGTCCATCTCCACAGCCCAATTCCAGGAAACCCACGGACCAGCGCCTATTAATGCTATTCTCTCCACAACCTCCGCAAGTACATGTTGTGGTTCTGATTTCAAGACACTGAATTAGGCATCCCTTAGTTTCAGAAAACATATGTAATTATCTACTTTGTTTTGATAGTGAGTAGCTTGGCTTTTCTAAATATACAAAGTAAACATGCACATTAGGCTTGTCAGCTTCTTTGTCTACAGAAAGTCCTGAACTAGATCATTCAGCACAGGCAACTTTCCACATCACAGCAAACAACCTAACAAGAAAAAATAAGTGCTACACTTACTGAATTTCTCCATCATCAGCCATTAACTATTATGTTCAGAAAGAAATAGTAGCCCTAACAGCACTGTAGACTATATACAATTCTGCTGGTGGAGAATGGTGAAAGGTTGTACTGTAATAACACTGTTTACCTTCTGCTTATGCCACCAACACCCCGCCATTCAGCTGCCACTCAATGTCTCCTTCCTCTTCTGCACACTGCAAGGACCTCTCACCATAGTCCCGGGCTTCAGCAGCTCTGTTAAGTTCTAGGTAGCATCTACCAATTTCATGAAATAACCAAGTCCTCTCCAAATTGCTCTTCACAAGTGGAATCTTTTCTTCCCAGCTTTGCAAAAGAAAACAAAAAATATGCCATGAATTTCAGTCTTTAAAAGTAGCTTTCTAGACAAGACCAAGACCATCTTGGCCTTCATTCAAGCCCCCCATTAAACCAATAACTGTAGCACTAGAGCAATCAGCTCTTATCAGAATCTACTTTTGTTGATCCATTGATATGTAGTTGTTAATTCGAGTTGCTGGATCTCTCCTGAGGCTCACAGACTGTGAAATTCAGGGGGTGTGGCCTGGAAGCCAAGGCATGGTTCCTCACCACTTTGCCCACCTCAAAAGACACCAAAATCTTAAATCTTTGACCTACAGCCTCTTTTACTTATACCATCCAATATTAGTTTCGCTACAGAAGACAATAATTTGCCTTTAGCATCCACATACGTTTCAATGGCTTCTTGGAAGTTGCCCATCCGAGCGTATGCTCGGCCAATATTGTCAAGAGCTCTGGATATGGCATCGGTCAAGTTGCTGCAATAGAGGCAAAAACAAGATACATTAAAATTGAATTACAACCTCAAATTACCCTGAAAAGTCACTGATCTATCCTCCTTCTCTAACCCATACACTGCCTCTACTGTGTTAATTAGTCGGTACTACATCATTAATATATATGGTACTTTAGAACACCTTCCATGAGAGGAAGCTGAGGAGAGGAAGCTGAACACCTTCCATATGTGTTGCCTCCGACGCATTTTTGGTATCACCTGGCAGGACAAAGTTCCAAATAGAGTAGTCCTAGAACGAGCTGGAATTTTTAGCATATATACATTACTGAAACAGCAACGTCTATGTCGGCTTGGGCATGTTGTGAGAATGGCTGATGGTCACATTCCAAAGGATCTCCTGTATGGAGAAATAGTGTAGGGAAATCACCCCAGAGGGAGACCACAGCTGTGATACAAGGACATCTGCAAGCAGGATCTGAAGGCCTTAGGAATGGACCTCAACAGATGGGAAACCCTGACATCTGAGCGTTCAGCTTGGAGGCATCATGGCCTCTCCCATTTTGAGGAGACCCTTGTCCAGCAGGCCGAAGCAAAGAGGAAGTCACAAAAGTAGCAAAATCAGGAAGTTGGACAAGGGACAGATTGGATTTGTCTTCAGTGTGGGATTGTCACTCTCAAATTGACCTTCTCAGCCACACTAGATGGTGTTCCAAGTCCTCCATACAGAGCACGTTACCATAGTCTTTCGAGACTGAAGGATGCCTAACACAACACTTTAGAACAGTGGTCCCCAACCTTTTTGGGGCCGCGTACCAGTTGGGGGGAACATGTGCAGTGGGCATGTCAGGCTCTCACAGTGGGCCTGCTGAGCCTGCGGGGAGCGTGTCTGCTCTGGTGCATGATGGATCATTCAACCTTTGGCCTCCATTGAAGCGTGTCCATAGACTGTCCATTGAGATGTGAAACAGAACATGTGTGAGTGGAATAGAAAATACCATGGTATCCCTCAAGGAATTTTGGAAAGAGTTGGAGACATGCAGAGTGGAGTGAGTGTGCCTACTACTAAAACAGTCAGCTCAGCTTCAGAAGAACAAATTTGTTGCCCTTTTCTTACTTTTCTCTGGCAATGCCCAGATCCACACGATGGCTCTGCAAAGCTGCTTCAATGTTCCCCATCTCTATCTGGGCATTTCCAACACAACTGTAGAGGTTTCCAACCAGCTCACTTCTGTTGGGAATCTCATCATCAGACCAACCTTGGATCTTTTTCAGCACTTGCTCAGCTTTCTGGATGCTTCTTTCAGGACACCCACTGGTCAGTACTTGGCACAAAGGAGAGGAAACAAGAAAACTATATTAAACAATTGGGAAGCCCAAGATTTGGACACTTCTCCTAACCACATACAGTACGTCCCTCCTTGAAAATACGTTTGGTATTTGTTTCCCTCTGCCAAAGATGAGAGCAATTATTTTTGCCTGGCTGCTACTGAAGATAAAATGTCAGATTAGATGAATTTCAGTCTGATACAACTAGGCAGTTCTGACATTCATTTTCTGATCTATCTGCAATTCAAAATAAGGAAATAAGGATGATGTCAGATCCATCTATTCCACTACTATCTGCTCTTATTGACTGGAAATATGTCAGACAAGATTTTTGACACCCAAGTTCTATTTAGCTAGAGAAGACAGGGACTGAAGCTTGCAATCATAAACTATGTTTCCATGAAATGAGAACACTGCTTTTATTTTATTTTATGTATTGCTTAATGTCAGTGGACATACCATTTGTCATGCATTCCTTTCTATTTTTGTCCAAATTTATCAAACTTACATTTTTAGCCTCACAAAAAATTCTCTGAGGTATACTAGGCTAACACACTATTTGTGTTATTTTCATTTTCACTGCAATCTCCAAAGACAATCAACATCCATGGCTGCATTCCTAACTTTATCATTTTATGTTTATGTCACCTTTGCAATGTGATATAGGCTGTGACAGAGTACTTGATTCAAAAGGTGCCTAAAAAGCTCAATAACTGAGTTAGTGATTGACACCTAGAACTCGCCCAGATCTAGCCACTACCTGGTTTGCCACATAGTGAGATTCATGGTTGTAAAAATACGTTGTTTTAGAACATGCACTGTAGAAGGCTAGTCTGGAACAACCACATCCCTCCCAGCCCTATGACTCTGAGCTTCAAAAGTTTAAAATTAAATACCGAATCAAGCTTTTCCTTTAAACTGTACCTGTGATCTGAGTACAGAGAATACATAGAATAACAGCTTTTTAAAATTATAGATTTTTATAGAGCTACTCATTTGTATGGTTATAATTGTCTGTTGTATTGCTGTGTTGTTTTTGAATTTATTTTCTGTTATTGTGGAGCAAGGTAAATTTTAGTTAATCTTGTGTAGACATAATGTACCCCATTATGTACCACTGTTGGGACAATAGGATGGACAGACAGATGAACGGACAAAAGGCTAGTTAGGACTCTTTTGTTTCCTGGTCAAACAGCTAATCTGTGGTTTGGTGCTCTACCCCCTCCAGCAGGTACCCACTCAGCAGCAGTGCCTGACCCCACCTCCTCCAGACACTGCTGCTAAGTGGCTGCCTTTTGGACTGGGGGGGGCACAGAATCACAGATCAGCTGTTCAGCTAGGAAATAAACCATCAAACCAGCAGTTCATGCCCATGTCTAAATACAATACTTTTCCAGCAGGTGGGGACCAACTTGAGGGTTGAGATAGTTCAGTTCTATATTCAGTAGTTCCCTGTAGAATAAGAAAGTCACCTGCTGCTAGTAGGTGTTCAGAGATTATCCTCTTTGGCAAGAGAGATCAGAGCAATGCCACAGCATCTCAGACCGTGCCAGGACTGAACCCAGATTATACATGTCTTTTCAAGTCTTTCCAGTTTACATATTATTGTATAATATGGGAGTTTAGAAGGGCACATATTAAAGACAGAAGTTGCTTTGTCTGTAATGCTGCAATTCTGCCCCAATCGATGGGGCAAATAAATCTTTCACAAATACAGTTCTATTTTTTCTCCCATCAGCATATTTTTCAGCAAAGTCACTTACACATGTCAATATCTTCCATGCTTTTCAAAATATATCTGGCCACTTCAGAAGGCTTCCTCTTCTGATCTCTTGTCCATCTCTTCAGCATGAGTCTACGATCTCTAATTCGGGCATAAATAGGCTTTTGTTGCTGCCAAAATTCTGTGCGTGTGTCCAGATAAGAAAGTCCTTCTTGGATCAGGTCTCCAACAGATATTCCTTGCTTTGTAGTGCTTTTGACCAAGTCTGCAGGGAGGTCAGAGGAAGAAATAGATATAAAAAGTAGAGCCTGAATTTATGTTGCACATAGTGTTAGTTGGTTCAGAGTATACAACTCTTTATATATACATCTTCCCTTTATTGGAGTAGACAGATTTTTCTCTTTCTTATCTAATATTTTTGAGCTTCCTATTCTTAGAGTTACAATGCTGGTTAGTGAAAGCTAAATATAGTCCTATGTAGGAACAGCTAAGAATTTGCATGCCGATTGTCAGCTAAACCATCTCCTTGACCAGGGAACAATATTACAATAAGGTGTAATATTAAAATTGGCACATGAACAGCAGAAACAATAAAAACTATATGAAACCAAAGGGAGATAATTGTCAGTTTAAGTCAGCTAAATGACTTGCTGAAAGGTGTGGGCAGTCAAAAAAGTATCTGCCATGTTCTAAAAGGGTAGCAAACCTAGTGCCAAACAAGCCTTGTTGAAAAAGAATTCCAGATATTGAACACAGCAACCAATAACACTCAACACCTCTGAAGGTTGAGTTATGTGGATTAAAAGTTCCAAAAGACAAACATAATGGTTAGGCTGACTCATCTGACAGAAGGCACCTATTTATTTTAATGAAGGGCCAATGTAAGTGAGTTGTCTAGAGCAGAGAAAACCTTGGTTCTCCCTACTTTGTGTCAGTCAACATCTCCACGTCTAACCCAATCTATCAAGCTGGTGTAAGGATAAAAAATGGGGGAAGAACCATCTTCACTTCTTTGTGTTATTCAAACACTTTGGTATGAGAAAAAACTAGTAAGTTAATGGAAAATAAAACATTAGCTTATAAAAGGAAAAATACTGATCTTATTTTCATTAGTTTTGTACAGTGGAGAGTAAAATGTGTTGTTTCCTAACATCTATGAAGAAGAGCTAAAACCTGTCAAGAGGCCCTTTACAAGAGAGGGAAAGGTTTTTTTTAACTTAGGGCTCAATCATACTTGCCAAAAGAACTTCAGTTATACTGTTTTTGCCATTACAGTGTTTGGATCATTTCAAAATTTTCTGCTTACATGATGCATGGCTAACATTGATTCATTTGTCCCAGGAATCAGTTTATTTCCTCCTTACCAGGAGGGCAGTTTTAAACTGTATTGATGATTTATCATTTCATTCCTTATCATTTCAGCATGTGTGTATGTTGCTGTTAATTTATTTCCTTTGCAAAGGGGTCAGAGTTTCGGGCACTGTGGCCACTTCATGGCTACTGCACTTACATCCTTTTTATATAGATAAATCACTAGTACCAGCCACCACTGCCAAAAAAAATAACATGAATACATTAACAGAAGGAAACAGCCTTCCCCTATTCCCTTGGGGTGAAGGGGGTGGGAGTTTGAGCAGAGAAGATATCTCCAGCTTTGAACTGTAAATAAAAGTGTGTTGCATTAATGTCTCCTCTTTCTTTCTTTTTTTGAACCCTGCTCTTCACAATACTTTGCAAGTCTTAAAACCTGCTTCCTCCTCCTGATGATGTCCAAAAGGAAAAAAATGAAAGACAAAAATTGAGAGGGAGAGATATGCAGGGAAATAAAGAAAAGGGGATGAGTGAATAAAGGAGGAAAGGGAAGAGAGGGGGAGAGAAGGCTCATACAATTTTATTGATATATCACTTTTGTAATTTTTTAAAAAGGACAAGGAGTCCCCAATAAGAAACAATGGAGAAAATGAATCAATATAAAATGAACGAGAGTGTAGCCTGCTTTCAGACAGAAAGAAATGTAGTGATGCAGTTCAAAACAATGTAAATGTTCCCACTCATATACATATAGCATGTGACTGCTTAAAAAATATATTGGTAAAAGAGAGAGATGAAAATAATCAGTATAAATGAGGTTATTTTCCCACGTGTGATTGAACTCTCAAACAAGTCAGCTACCTTTAGACAACAGATAAGAGATGCAGAAAGCATATGGCTGTTAATTCGATGCTTTTCTAAGACAAAACTGAGCACTTTCGCAAATATAGGACTGCAATGACAGAGCAGAGCTATAGGCTAGACAGGAAAATTATGTAGAGAATACTATAACTCTGTGGAGGGTGTATTAGCACAGACAATCTGTTCATGTGAGGCACCGGCTAATCTTCTTGGACTTCACCATCACCCCTCGTGAATTCAGTGTGTGCTGTATATATGACATGCTTCTGTAAGTGTACGTTGCAGAAAAAGAAAGAAAGCAGGCCATATTTTGGGGAAGGCTATCTCCCAGTATTGGTTTCACTGAGAAATTCCAAGAACATGTATTGGAAAACTCTTTAGAAAACTTGCATTCCTGCAAACTCCCATTCTTTACAAGGGGCTCCTTCTCCTTCACCAGGGAACAATATTAGAACAAGGTGTAATATTAAAATTGGCACATGCAATTGTCTGAGGTCACTTCTTGCTCTGAGATAACCAAGCCCAGCATTAGTAAAACAGAAAACACAAGCCTTCATCCTTGAGCAATTTCTCCAGAAAAGCCTTGTCAACATAGAGCTCTCCAAGAAGCTGCCGTTCTGTTTTCTCATTCTTTACTGGCTCCTGTTGTTTATTTAAGTACTTTGCATCCTTTTTGGGAAATTTGATTTGTTGCTTCTGTTTTGCCTTTTTACTCTGTCATTTAAAAAAAGCATATAAACACAATTTACAAGAAAAAATTATGTTTAGATTTTTGTAGCATCCCCATCATCATCATCATCATCATCATCATCATCATCATCATCATTTTCCATCAAGTGAATTCTAACTTATGGTGACCCTTTTTCAGGGCTTTCTAGGTAGAGATCACTCAGACGTGGTTTACCATTCCTTTCTTTGGAGGGCATCCTGGGACTGTGCATCTCCCCTAAGGCCACACGGGCTGGAGGAGGCACAGTGGGGCATCAAACTCCCAATCTCCAGCTACAGATATCTAACTCATTGAGCTATCCAGCCAGCTAGCACTCCTCTAGGAAGAAGGAGGTGGTCCCTGGCAGGTTAAAAGACTGCACATTGGGCTTTGGGCAGGAACATCTGGATAAATGATGACAGAATAAAATCAGCACCATACATTAAGACATGCCATTTGGAATACTGAAACCTCCAGATCGATAAAATGACATATACAGGATCTTATGCTGTGGAGAAAACCAGTGAAAAGATTCAGTGCAATTTAATAAGAACTTTTAAACCTGCACCACTTCTTTCTCTAAAGTAGCCCTGCACTGAGCTCCCACCCCCAACTTTGATATAACAGTTTGCTTATGGACCCATCAGGTGGCTTTAAACAGACAACCATCTATACAAGGGAAATAATGTACAGTGGTGCCCCGCTTGACGCTTCCCCCGCATGACATCGAAATCGCTTTACGATGAGTCTTTTTGCGATCGCTATTGTGATCGCAAAACGATGGTTCCAATGGGGTTTTTTTGCTTGACGTCGATTAGGAGCCTGCTTCACGAACCGTTTGTTCGCTAAATGACACTTTTTTTCAGCTCCACAAAATGGCTTCCCTTCGTAAAATGGCTTCCCTCCCTTCGCAAAATGGCTGTTTTCCGGACCCCTGCTGCAGAAGACGGCAATTTTAAACAGCTGATCGGCGGTTCTCTATGGGCAATCTTTGCTGGATGATGAGGTATTTCCCCATTGGAACGCATTGACCGGTTTTCAATGTATTCCAATGGGGTTTTTTTTCGTTTGATGATGATTTCGCTTAACAGCGATTTTCCTGGAACGGACTGTCGTCGTCAAGCGAGGCACCACTGTATATGAAGACTTTAGTAACATAGAAAAAATGCTATTCAAATATTAGGAGCACAGGCAAATATTCAGCATTTTCAGATCTCAATAATTTAAATGGAAGAGACTTAAGCATGTGCTTAGGAGGCAGGGCACAATCTTGCCAAAGTTATACACTTCTATGTGGTACAAATATTCTCATCTCTTTCTGCCTCACCACAGTAAATCCTACATGTTATTCCCTTTAAAAATTGTGTGAATAATGGGATAAAATATATTCCAAGACATTTTGAAGATATTCTCTCCTACAGATTAGTGTGGAAAGGTTTACATCCTTCATGCCTACTAAATGCATAAATAAAAGAAACAGATCCAACATGGGGAAAAAGTGATGGTTTGTATGAATTTGAAAATGAGTTTGAAATTCATTCCCGTTCAGAATTTGAGTTTCAGAATTAATTTCAAAAAGACCAACTGTTTTATCAACTTTTTATAAGAGCTACTGTTTCGGCTAGTACAATACTGCTAGTCTTACAGCACATTTACACTACCCTTTTTGGTGCCGGTTGGTGTAGTCTAAACTGGGTGCTTTTGATCAGAGGGTAGATCAAAATTCCATTTGACACAATATTGACAGCAAGCAACCCTCTGTTGTCAATTGAAAACTTCTGTTCACTTCTGTAGAGGAGCAGGGGAAGTGAAATTATTATTCCGCCCATGCTAGACCATGGCTGAATCACTTAGATTCATTTTTTAAAGTATTTTGTTGTCTTTTAAAAAATGAATCCAAGTGATTCAATATATCAGCAATTATTTAGCAGACAGGGGAACAATTTCCCCTGCCTCTTCACAGAGAAGCAGGAGACATGCTCGGTTTGCTAATACTGTATCCTGAAACAGCATCCTTATTAAGTCACTTCATGGTACCAAAATTTGAACTGGAAGGACCCTTGGCAGCTTTAACAGTTGCAAGGCTTGATTTTAGTCTGTTTCCAGTGATCTCAAATGCTGGGAATGGACTAAACCAGAGTGTATGAACCTGCGCCCAAAAAGTAGAAGACCCTAACACAAGCTCAAAAAGAGTTAGGGTGCCTTGGGGGCAGATTGGTCCACTGTAATGATACATTGTGTAGTGACTGGAAAGTGAACCAATCTGCCCCACAATGCATCAGATAGGAGGAGAAATGCCTGTCTGCATGAGCCCTCAGCTACAGAACAGACCTACTGAAACTCCTAAATGGCAAGATGAAATTTATGTAACTTCCATAGAACCAATGACCTACTCTAGTTGGAACTAACAATAAGATACTAAAAGTAGACACACTTGTGTTTTTGAAAGGGAGCTTTGGCCCCAACATATTTACTGGGACTAAGATTCATAAGATCGAATCCACACGACGGAGTGAGCTCCTGTCACTTGTCCCAGCTCCCGCCAACCTAGCGGTTCGAAAGCATGCAAACGCAAGTAGATAAATAGGGACCACCACGGTGGGAAGGGAACAGTGTTCCGTGTCTAAGTCACACTGGCCATGTGACCACGAAAGATTGTCTTTGGACAAAACGCTGGCTCTGTGGCTTGGAAACGCCCCCTAGAGTCGAACACGACTGGACAAAAATTGTCAAGGGGAACCTTTACCTTTACCTTTAGTTGAGAACAATAACTAATAATTGCTTGCTCTCAGCAAAGGTAACTGCTTATAACATTATCCTCCATTTTAATTATATTTTTCATTTCCATTCTTTCCTTCTTGTAGCCATACACACACACGCACATTCTGCAAATTGTTTACAAGTGGGAACAAGTGGGAAAAGATGGAAACAACATGCCTAATCCTCAGTAGAAGTTGCGGTAAGTGGAGTAACTGTCAGAACAGCTCTCCATGATAACGATGTTTTGTAAGTGATAGCATTTTATGTCTAAAAGGAGACAGACTGCCTTCAGTTGTCACTGAATCTGTCAACCCCCACACACACACACATCTATTCCTATGCTATTAACCTCTTACCATGGTTTCTATTCCCGCCTAAGAAAGGGGTCAGTCACCCACTTTGCAAAATGCTGGAGAGATCATACCTCTGCCTGGCGACTCAGAAAGCAGAGGTCCCCTCTATTCTCCAGTTTCACAGAAGAAGGGCCTGCAAAGAAGAAGGTATCAGCCAAGAGGTCCTTTTTAAAGAGAAAGGTGGGATAACTATACAGTATTTTAAACAAAAAACAAACACCAAGCCCTACAAAGCACCAGCCATAATCAGTGGCAGGCAGCCCTTTTGGGAGACAGCACACTAATATTTGCAACAAAATTAAGAAGAAAAGAATTGTACACACCGAAAATGGGCAAAATCCTGTTTGCGCAGGTATAACATAAAGTTATGCCTGCATAAATGTGCCAGGATTACATCCTGCAACAGGTAATTGCACAATTCAATTATGCAGTTGGTCACACCATCCCATAGCAACTGTTGTGCAATGCACAGCACAAGTGCTTCATGGATAGCACTTCCACCTTCACACTGTTGTAACTACTGCAGACATAATATTGAGTTACACACACATAGCTATACAAGAGGGAAGGCACTCTAGTCCCTACTTCATTTTCATTCCCTTTTTTTCAGAATTTTTTCCAGGTTTAATATTTTTCTCAAAGAAATAGCATGGCCCAGACAACCAGAAAATAATCACTCATATGACGTATGACTCATCAGTCATATAACTGCTTTACTTTCGACTCTTCCCTAATAATTTTTCACATTGAATTTGGCTACTTCATTGCTGTAGACTGCTAGTCTTTTTAAACAGAAGGAGTCTGAGCCTCTTCGAATAAGGAGTCTGATTTGACCAAAATTATTATTGAGACAACACTGTTCTTCACTTTGGACAGTTTTGTAAGCAGATAAGAACACGGGTGTCTGCATCCACCACTTTCTGTTTATAGAGTTTCAAATCCAAGCAAAGTGAAGCACCTCAACAGTTTTGGGATGAGGTACATATTCTTCCAGCTTGGAACACAGGCCACCTATGCTTCCTAGTAAATCATTCAGAATTTTAATCCAGAGTTAATTTTACTACCTGCTTGAACTAATTAAATTTATGAAAAATATTATTTTGTTTTGTATTTGTTATTTTTGTAAAAACAAAGACTAGAAATTGAAGCACTCTATGATATCCTCCCCCATACGTCATTCAGCCTTCCTATTGAGGGAAGCTTTCATTGCTGTTGTTAATCACATTAACAATTCTACTTTTTTAACACTTTTTTTCTAACAAAACAGCCTAGGTGTCTTGCATTATGTCCTTGTCTTTACTATTGTTTCTTTTATTTCTGCATTTTCTTTCACTCATATTCAGACCAAGTACAATTAAACTAAAATTAAATGTAGAAGGGTTAGGTGTGCTAGTCTGTGCAAACATTAGGGGTAAAAGCAAAACAAAAATAAAAAGGCAAAAACCATGGTGGCACCTTAAAGATAACCTTTTATATTTTTTAATGTGAGCTTTCCTGGACAAGTCCACTTCATCAAAATTAGGCTCATGTAAAAATCAAATAACTTACTTCCAACAGAATTTTCTATTGCTTCCTGGGATTTCTGAATGCCGAGCCTGAATTTCTCCAGCTCTGGGCGAAGCTTGTGACCTCGGTGGTAATAGACAAGAGCAAATTCAAAATCCCCCATGGTATACAGAGCCTCTGCTTTCTGATACAATCCCTGTAACAAAGAAGAAAATATCATGCAAGAGCTATGCATCATCACAATGCTTGCATTCGTGAACAAGTTCTAATCCCAGTGATTCCACTCAGGAGTTAACTTGCTCTTGCATCATAAAATTACCCAAACATGACATGCTGATGATAAGTCTGAGCCGCAAAGTCCCTTATTCGCATTCTCATTTTTTGAACCACTTCTTATCTTCTTATTGAAGAACCTCTTCAAAGAACTCAGTCTGAAATCAGTTGCCCCTTTCAACCCCTAATCTGCATACCATGTGAAATACATTTCCAACCTAATGACTAGCTGCCCTCCTCCCTTTCTGGAATGAGAAAAGAGAGAAACATCCATAACCCTTCCACCATCAATTCAGATACCCAGTGATAAATTTGGTAAGCTAACTCTTAGAATGAGAACAGGTTTCCCTGTATCTAATTGCTCACCTTGGTAAATTCCTTGTCAGCTGCCAGAGAGGCTTCTGCATCCTTCAATGCATTTTCTGTATCTCCTAGTCTCAGGTAGCATTTTGAACGGGAAACAAGGCAATTTCTGTCCCCTGGCTGAAGCTGCAAGGCCTAACACACACAAAAAAGATGGTGTCCAATCTTTATTACATTGTTGTAGTTGCTAGCTGACTCTCCACTATTTCACAGATGTAAATAGGGACATGCTTTTTATACCTCTGGTCTCATAATCAGGATCACTTTGAAAACAGCACTTCCTCCACAATTGCATGCTTTTGTGTTAATTTCTTTTGCAGTAGGTGACAGGCACTGAAAACGTACTTCTAGATCTTTATTAGATTTTTATTATCACCATTTTCAACAGACATCAGAATACACAGTGTCAAACAGCTAAAATTAATATTGTGTACATTTATATGTGCACACATTTAATTGCACTAGACAAGGCACATTCAGAGATTTAACTTAAGACAGAAGAGACATGGGGCAAAGATCTTTTCCCTCCCTCTTTTATTTTGGCTACCATGTGTGCACTCACATTATCTGAGAAACGCAACCCTAAACTGGATTATTGGCACCTGAAAGAGACTACAGAAAGTGCAGCAACCATCTGTAAAACTTCATTTTACCATTTCTCTATCTCTCCTCAACCCAGCTGCAGAAAGGTGAGAGTTCAAAGGCATGAATGAGCGGCAGGAGCCAATTAGCAGCTGATAAATTTGTCTCCTGAACCACAGAAGTAATTCTTCTGATCTCTACCTGGAATCTCACATTGCCCATGAAGCCACGTCCTTTCTCTGCCGTCTTCCTTCCCTCCTCCTCATGATGTATGTACTATTACAGCACTTCCCTGTCCTGTCCTGACTGTATAGGATCTGATGTCTCTCAAACCCAGAATCTTCCTTTTCTCAGATTTGGTGACTCTCTTAAATGCTAGAATGACCCCGAACTCAGTCCTCCTTCCACTCTTAGCTTTCTCCACCTCTCCTGTGCTTTTTCCCCCATTTTCATCCCCACGAGTTCAGCACCGCGTCCCTCCCACTCTTTTCGTCTCTATTTGTTCCTCCGGCTTAGAGCTGCGGAGCTGGAAGGAACCCTACGGATCGTGGCGTCCAACCGCCCCATCAGGCAGGGAATATCGGGACTCGCACTCCCAAGCTGTGGCTCAGCAGCCAGATGCCTAAACCACCGAGCGGTCCAGCAGTTAACAGCCAGAAGCGCACTCCCAACCCCGCTCCCCGACCCCGGAAGGTTTGCAAGGCGAATTCTCACGTAGGAATAACAGGCGAGAGCTTTGGTAAGTTCCTCCCGCCGGCTGAGCATCGCGCCTTCAGCCATGAAGCTGGGAAAGGTTCCCCGCAAAACATCCCCTTCGGGGTCCCCCATCTTTAGAACAGGCAAAGCCGAGGAGGACGCGACGCCGCTGCTTAGCAACCGCAACACTTCCGGAAATCCTACGGGGACGCATAAGGTTCAAACGGCAGCGAAATGCTGCTCACTTTCTATTGACTCTACCACCTTCCCATTCTTTGGCTCCCGCTGAGAGCCACTTTCCTTCCGCTAACAATTGCAACTGCTGAGAGTCCCACCGGGAGAGACGCTGCAATGTTCCTCCTCTCCAAGAGGAGCAATGACTTGGGAAAGTTTTTGTATTCGTCGATGTGTGAGAGGAACTCGTTTCAGATGTGTTGATGATCTCCGGGGTTTTGCCAAGATAATGCCCTGATCTACATTCTCAGGCTCGGGAATTAGTAAAATGTTGTGTGTACTCATAAAGAAAAAGACATATATATTAATAACTAATTACTCAATGGAAGAGATTTCTTGAGCAACAAAATGATAAATGGACTTGACGGCTAATGAATGTAAAGTGGTGCATATCGCAACAAAGATATTTTAACCTCACATGTAGGTTGATGAAAATTTAAATTCGTACTGACTGAGAGTAATAATGAAGACCGTTCTGTGCCTGTGGCATTAAAATCTAATAGGAGCCTGCACAAGGCTACAGGCCAGGGATTGGGGACCCCTGTTTGTAGAGTGATGGCGTCTCAATTGGCACATTTTCAAGGTGCAATAAGAGGACTTGCCCAGTTGGGGGAATCACAGTGTGTTTTTCTTTTAAAATGCAATGGTTAATGTTCAGGGATTGTGCTACTGACAGCTTCCACAGTTAATTTCAGATGCAAACCCAATAACAATCTGAATAATGCAGCTGTTAAAGATTTTCCATGATGTTCCAGACTGCATGAGACCAGCAAGAAGACAGAAAACACTTCAGCATGGTGATTGTTATGACTGGGATTTGTCCCATTGGAGGCTGTACATTTGCCCATTTGCTTCCGTTATGTCCAGTTCTATTCCAGTCATTCTTTGTTTTCTACCAGTTAACTTTTAGGGAATAGGAAGGGAAATATTTTTTTTAAAGCATGAAAACAAGCTGTGAAGAAAGGGTGCTTGCTGGGATCTTTGTATGAAAGGCATCTCGAGGTTTGTATCTAAGAAACTGTGGACATAGAAGCAAAAATCCCACATACAAGAACCAGAGGTTTCTTGAAAGATTGAATATAGAGAAATGGGTGGTGCAGGAGAGAGGAAAAGAGGCTTCTCGCAGTAATCACTCAGTATATAACTGGATTGTAACTGTATATTGCTATCATATGCTGGGTATGTAGAACACTCATCAAATGAGGTTTAATGAAGCTCCTGTCAAATGACATTTGTCTGGGTGATTGCAGCTTATGCAGGTTTGAATATGATATAGGAGGCTTAATTAAGAGATCATTTCGCATTCTGGAAAAGTATAAAAGTTAGACATAGGTAGTGTATATGCATGTCCGCCCACATACATGAACGGACACATGCATACCTGCATGGACTCCCCTTGCATGCAAGCATGGGTGCCCCAATACACACATGCCCACCGCATGCACAGATGTACTCCCGTATGCATACACAGACACACACACCACCCCTCCCATACGCATGCTATACCGGTCAGCAGTGCCAAAATGTTTGGAGACCACTGAATTAAAGGACTGAGGAACTAATGATAAGGGAGGGTCTAAATAATTATTCAATGAAAAGAAGACCCCATCCTCACTCCTAAGTATCAGCAGATTCTAGTTTAGGGAAAGAGAACTTTTAATAAATTGACTTTGGGGGAGAGGACTCCAAATGTTGATTTTTAAGGCTGATAGAAAATTTGTAGTATTGGAGTGTGACTAAGCTTGAGGAAGTTGCCACACACTCTCTCACACAAATTATGCAGCTGAAAAAAGATGAGAAAATGGAGCTAGTAGTAGTAATAAGACAGAGAAGTGGACAGGCTTGCAGATATTGGGGATCATTAGATCACATTCATGCGGTTACAGAGCAGATCAGAATATTATTTCCAATTACCGTATTATACAGGTTGGCTGTTACAAGTTGGCTGTTCCAAAGCACAAAAACTACCCTAAGCTATGCCTAGAAACATATTTAAAAGATTGATATTTCCATGTGTACCAGATTCCCCACTTTAAACTGATGGTGGGATGTGTGACACTTCTTCATGTGTTTGCTTATACTTTATATTTTATCTAATTTAACTTCATTGCTAACAGTTGAGTCACTGTTTCAAAAAAAAGGTCACAATTTCACAGTGTGAAGGCGAGATAGGAAAAAGAGAGAAGGAACAGAGTGAGCCATCCTCATGAATAGAGGCATCGGGGATAGGAGAGGGAGAAATAATAGAATGGGAAGAGTTGATTGTAGAAGAAAGAGAAGAGAAAGTTGAAATCTGTCTGGTAGAGGAGGGAGAAGGAGAAAAGGAGGAGAGTTAATTATACTGGTATGGGAGGAGGATATAAAAGCTGAAAGGGAGAGGAGAATTTTTAGTACAGTGGTGCCTTGCTTAACGAGCGCCCCATTTAAAGACTAATCCGCATGGCGATGAGGATTTTGCAATTGCAAAAGCGATCGCATTGTGATGTGCTTAATGGTAAAAAATCGCTTTGCGATGATCAATAAGCTGTTTCGCTTATCGATTTTCACATAGCGATGTTTTAAAAACAGCTGATTGGCAGTTTCAAAATGGCCGCCAGAAACAAGGGGCCGCCCACTGTGTTTTCGCGCCAATTCCTCGCTTACTGGGCAGCGAAGATGGCAGCCGTATGGAGGATTTTCGCTTAAAGGTGAGTTTTTTGCCCATAGGAACGCATTAAACGGGTTTTAATGCATTGCTATGGGCTTTTTCTTTTCGCATAGCTACGAATCCGGATAGCGACGATTTTTCCGGAATGGATTATCGTCGCTATGCGGGGCACCACTGTATATCCAGAGGAGAGAGAAGGAAAGAGGAGAAAAGTAGAGAGAGAGAAAAAGCGAACAGAGATATGACAGAGTGTGCAAGTTATTAGAAGAGTTCCCTAATTTGAAGGTAGGAGGTTTACTGCCTGACCCTGACTTGTCAAAGGGAAAGGGAATATTGACAGAGGTGCTAGAATGGAGAGTTGTGGTCTTTCCATGGGGACCAGGTCACTTGAGGAAGGTGATCCAACCAGACCAATCTTTCAGTCAACCACTACTGGAGGGATATTGGACCAGACACCCTTGTCGTGGGAAAATTTGAGTGGTTTGGAGTGCTCCAATTAGGAAATCCACCGACCAGGGCCATTTTGTACCAGCCCCTCAATGAACCTTGCCCATTTACAGATGGAGTTCTTGTCTTCACACTTTGGACGGTTGCCAGATCTCACTTGTTTTGAACCAATAGAAGTTGTTGCGGAATCACCAAATGTTAAACCAAATAAATCTGTTAATATTTCAAAAGAGGCCCAGTTGTCATTTCCTGCCAAAAGAGAGGAGCTGCTTTAAATTTCTATCTTTTCTACACCCAAATCTGTCATCTACATATGCCCAAGCATGTGACAGGCACATGGTATTAACCTGCACGCTGACCAATATGTCATTAAGACAATAGATAATGTAAAATGGTGGCAGTTATGACAGGCTGCTGCTGCTGCTCTCATGTAATTCTAATCCACTGGTCTCTGTGAAGAAGTAGGTTGAGAATCTGATGGTGGCAGTTTGATGGCATCTTCTCCCTTGTTAGATCCAGTTGGATCTAATGGCCTCCATGAGCAGAGGAGGGATCCAGTCTGAGCTTGGTGAAGCAGCAGCAGGTTGGATCTTAATAGCCTTTTTTTGTGGGCAGGAGTCCAGTTCCAGAATCTAAATGTACATAACTGCTTACAAAATGTAATAGAAAGATAAAGAATCTAAATTCTAACAAAAATACTTGTGGAAAATCCGTGAAGCACAGGTCACCAGAAAATTCAATGAAGTAAAATATATGCCAGAAAAACAACATCTGCTAAATAAAATAAAATAACAATTAATAAATAAAACTGTTGCCAAGTATTTCAGAGTTTATGTCTCTTATTATTCCTACTTTGTTTAGTAAAATGCAGTCATTGTAACTGAAGGCATATTACACAGGAATTGACTCACCAAATCCTCACTGATTCACGTATTAACAAAAACAGATAAAATTGTAGTGTTTATTTATTTAATCCCTTCTCTAGATTACTGTAGCCATAGTCTTTTTATTTGAAATATGAATTGGCAATCTAGAATAGAATATGATAGAAAGAGATAGCACCCACGCACACACACGTTGAGCATCGAAAATCTAGTGTTACATTTGTGTGGCTCAGTTGCTTGTGCTTCATTCGTTTCAAAATTCCTGGAATAACCGGTTCAGGGAAATAAATTCTGACAACATCTTGCTTTCTCAACTCATACAGAAGGACAAACATAACTGGTTTTCTTGTTTAATCAACCGAGCAGGCTCAAAATGAAGCAATTGTACTGTGTTGCCAGTAGAGGTTCGCCAAGCACCCTCTCTCCCAGTTTTTAAGAAGCTACATAAAACGGAATTGTTCAAAGCTGCCTTTTATTGATGGGTGTCAATCAATGTCCAACTGTGGTTTAAAGTTGTTTATTTATGTCAGATTCAATTAATCATATAGTTTTATTTTGTTCTTTATTGCTTATGTTTAAAATTGTTATTGTGTTATTTGTAGTTTATATGTGTTAGTCGTGAATCGCCCAGGGAATACATATCACACTATTGTGCAGTACATAAGTTTAATTAATTAATTAATATCATGAAGAGAGTTCTAGACAATTGTGTCCATCGCTGTAGAAGCAGGTTGTCATGGAGTCTTAGGCCACTGCAAATATGTTATTTTATTATTTATTTTTAATTATTTAAAATATTTTTACCCTGCCTTTTTCCAGGTGACTTACATAATTATAATAGAAAATATTTGAAAGCTACAAACACTAAGTTATTCAAATATTTAAAACAAACTACATAAATATTATATTTAAAATGTTAAAGTATTTCTAAAACAGGTTTAAAAGCAAGAGAAAAATACATAGCATA